GTCGGAGGGTCAGTGCTGAGGGAGTGCCGCACTGTCGGAGGGTCAGTACTTGATTGGATGCAATTTCTTTCTTTTTTTCTTTTGCAGTCTCTTAGTCAGACTGAAGGTCAGTTAGATTTGTCTAATTCATCCAGTTGTTGTGGCACATTTCTTTTACAGATGGCTTGCTGCTTTGCTGAGATTATAATCAGTGCATAGACCTGCGATATAAATAGAATTCCTCCATTAGTGACAAGACATAGTGACCTCGGCTGATCATTTAATCCAGATTGCTGGTTTTTAATTAATCAAAGTTTAGATAAATCCATTGCAAGAATAAATATCTCAATATTTCACAGCTCCAATCTGGCGTGTACTGCCTGGTAACCTGCAGGCCTGATCCTGACCCTTCATAGGGACAATAGCAGAGAGCTGGGTGGTGGAAGTGATGATGGTCACGGAGATGGTGATGATGGTGGTGGAGGGGAGCAGGGAGCTGTCTCATTCCTCCTGTCCTAACCAGTACCCACCAATCCTTCACTATCTCTGTAGCTGCTTCCTTTCAAACCCTTAGAAACATAGAAGATAGGAACAGGAGGAGGCCATTTGGCCCTTTGAGTCTGCTCGGCCATTCCTCACGATCATGGCTGATCATCCAACTCAATAGCCTAATCCTGCTTCTTCCCCATAACCTTTGATCCCATTCGCCCCAAATGCTATATCTAGCTGCCTCTTGAATACATTCAATGTTTTGGCATCAACTGCTTCCTGTGGTAATGAATTCCACAGGCTCACCACTCTTTGGGTGAAGAAATGTCTCCTCGTCTCCGTCCTAAATCATCTACCCCGAATCCTCAGACTGTGACCCCTAGTTCTGGACACACCCACCTTCGGGAACATCCTCCCTGCATCTACCCAGTCCAGTCCTGTTAGAATTTTATAAGTCTCTATGAGATCCTCCCTCATTCGTCTGAACTCCAGCGAAAACAATCCCGACCGAGTCAATCTCTCCTCATACATCAGACCCACCATCCCCGGAATTAGCCTGGTAAACCTTCACTGTACTCCCTTGAGAGCAAGAGCATCCTTCCTCAGAAAAGGAACCCAAAACTGCACACAATATTCCAGGTGTGGCCTCACCAAGGCCCTGTATAACTGCAACAACACATCCCTGCTCCTGTACTCGAAACCTCTCGCAATGAAAGACAACATACCATTTGCCTTCTTTACCACCTGCTGCACCTGCATGCTTACCTTCAGTGACTGGTGTACAAGGACACCCAGGTCCCGCTGCAAGTTTGGGTCCTCAGATCCTGGAGATTTGTCTGCCTTTGTTCTGTTAGTTTGTCCTTTGTGATAGACACTTGCCTCCCATTAGCACCTTGCTTATGGTTGGGATGTTTTTATTGTCCTCCAGCATGAAGTTCAATGCAAAATATTGGTTTAATTATTGCCATTTCCCCTGTGCTCTGTTATGAATTCTCCAGTTGCATCCTCTGAGGGTCCCACACTTACATTTTATTTACAAGGACTCTTTCTCCACAGCTCAATGTGGTAAGGAGTTCCAAAGACTCACAACCCTCCGAGAGAAGAAATTCCTCCTCATCTCCGTCTTAAATTAGTGCCCCTTTATTCTGAGACAATGCCCTCTGGTCCTAGACTCTCCCATGAGGGAAACATCCTCTCAGCATTGATTCTGTCAAGCCCCTTCACAATCCAACATGTTTCAATGAGATCATCTCCCATTCTTCTAAACCCCAGTGAGTAGAGTCCCAACCTGTTTAACCTTTGCTCATAAGGCAATCCCTCCATCTCAGGGATCATCCTAGTGAACCTTCGGTGAACTACCTCTAATGAAATGCTATCTTTCCTTAATTAAGGAGACCAAAACTGCTCACCGTGCTCCAGATGTGGTCTCCCCAGCACCTTGTACAGTTGCAGTAAGACGTCCCTATTCTTATACTCCAACTCCCTTCAAATAAGGGGTCAACATTCCATTACCCTTCCTGATTACCTGCTGCCATGGTGTGCTAGCTTTCTGTGTTTCGTGCACAAATTGCCCTGCTCCCACCAACCACCTTCCCCCCCGCCCCCGCCACTCCCCCAGTCCCTTTCTGTTGCAGCTTGCTGCAGTTTTTCTCCATTTAAGTAATATTTTGCCCTTTTGTTCTCCCTTCCAAAATGTGAAACTTCACATTTTCCCACAATGTGCTGCATTTGCCAATGTTTTTCCCACTTAGTTAACCCTCTCTGTAATCACTAAGTTTTTGACAACCAATCATTGTTTCTGAAGTGTTGCCACTGAAGGAAACACAGCAGTCAATTTACATGCAGCTAGCTCCTATCGACAGCAATAGGAGAATGATCAGCTATTCAGTTTTTGTTTGTGAGAATTGTTTTGGGTTAATTATTAATCAGTGTAACAAGGGAACTCCCAGGCTGTCTGTTGTAGCAATGACATGGGTGTCGTTTCCATTTGCCTGAGATGGAAGGCAAGGCTTTGGTTTCTCGTTGCAGCCATATGATGGCACCACTGACAGTTTAGCACTCCCTTGGTATTTCACTGAGAGTAGAATAAAACCGTAAGATATAGGAACAGAATTAGACTATTCGGCCCATCAAATCTGCTCTACCATTCAATCATGGCTGATATGTTTCTCACCCACATTCTCCTGCTTTCTCCCCATAACCCTTGATTCCCTGACCAATCAAGAACTTGTCTATCTCTGTGTTAAATACACTCAATGACTTGGCCTCCACAGTCCTCTGAGGCAATGAGTCCCACAGATTCACCACCCTCTGGCTGCAGAAATTCCTCCTCATCTCAGCTCTAAAGAGTCATGCTTTCACTCTGAGGCGGTGCCCTTGGGTCCTAGTCTCTCCTACTAGTGGAAACATCTCCACGTCCACTCCATCCAGGCCTCTCAGTATTCTGTAAGTTACAATCAGATCCCCGTTCATCCTTCTAAACTCTATCGAGTACAGACCCAGACTCCTCAACTGCTCCTCATGACAAGCTCTTGATCTCAGGGATCATTCTGGACCACCTTCAACGCCAGCAAATCCTTCTTTAGTATCAGTTCTAATGTTGCAATCAGAGAGTGCTGCTCACTGAAATAAACTTATCTCCTTCTCAATAGAAAGATTACATGGATAACCCTCATCCTCCAGTACATTTTAGACCTGAACCTAGTTCAAAGATGTTTCTGCAATTTCCTCATCTATATCCCTCACATTTGAGCTGAGAGGCCTTTTCCATTGTAAATTCCAAAGATTATTTTCCAGTATTATTTCCTGATTTGTGGGCCTCCTGGTTAATTACGCCATTGCCTTCCCTTGTTCCAGAATGATCTACTCAGGATCCAACTTTCTTAATGAACCCAGTGGAGTTAATTTGAATGTTGTTCAATATTTCAAAGTGTCGGGTAATGATTCGGAAACTTGCTTCACAATTCTCCTGACTTTTACTTTCATTGAATGTTGGCCAAAATTAAAATTACTCCTAGGATGTGCTTACACTTGATTAGAATTGTACAGAATGCGTAGCACTGAAATAGGCCATTCAGCCCAATGGGACCATGCTGGCATTCCTGTTCCACATGAGCCTCCTCCCACTCTGCTTCATCTCACCCTGTCAGAGGCATTCTCAGGTGGTGTTTGCGGATAATTATAATGTGCAGGGACATGGGGAAAATGCAGGAGATTGACACTCGGTAATAGAACCAGACTAGACATTATAAGATTTGTTAATGCACCCCTATGATTCAAAACATTTCTGAAGACTGTCCAAAATAAAAACCGAAAGAACTGAGGATGCTGTAAATCAGAAACAAAAACAAAAGTTACAGGTCTGGCAGCATGTGGGGAGAGAAATCAGAGTTAATGTTTCAGGTCTGGTGACCCTTCCTCCAACTCCTCCTGTTGTGAAGAAGAGTCACCGGACCCGAAACATTAACTCTGATTTTTCTTCACAGACCAGCTGAGCTTTTCCAGCAACTTCTGGTTTTGTTTCTGAAGATTCTGTTGTTTACTTTAGTGTGGGTTATTGTGTTTGAACCCCTGTAATGGTTTGCTTTTATTTGTTGCAGTTACGTCTTGTGGAAGGAGGAATTGGCTGTGACCATTCAGAATGACATTATTGCTAGTCCTGTTGGTGTTCGGTAAGTCTCCCTGTCTCTTTTTCAGAAAGTCAGTCACTGAACACACTAAAACATATTCATAGCCATAGGATCTCAGCTGTTGTGTTGAGTCATTGACCGTTCCAATCTGTTCTCTCATTTGATATGATCATGAAGTTATATAAATTGGTTATGGTAGGGATTTTCATTCTATTTACCCATTTATTATTCAGGTTATTCATTCAATAATATTCATATTCTTGCCCAGTACATGTAACAATCTCAGCTCTCACTGTGTTCCCTGGGGAGAGAGTGTAATTGTGTTATATGGACTGAGACCTTGACATTTTGTACCCAACCCGTTCTGAGATGTTATTACACCACTCTGGAGCAGGATAGAACTCGAAATGTAGCCTCCCGGTCTCGAGGTAGGGATATTACCATGGTGCCTCAAAATCCCCTTTGTCTGAGACCTAATGGGATGAGGAAACAGATGGTGGATGTACTAAAATAAAACAAAGAGCTGCAGATTGGAGATCTGAAACACAGAAAAACAGAAATTGCTGGAGAAATTCTGCAGGTGTGGCAGAGAGAAACAGAGTTAACATCCCAAAACCGTACTCAATGGAGTTGAGAGGACGGGGGGCGGGGAGGGGATCAGATTGAAACTCACAGAGTACTGAGTGGCCTGGATTGAGTGGACATGGAGCAGATGTTGCCACCAGTAGTAGAGACTAGGATCCATGGGCACAGCTTCAGAGTGAAGGGATAGCCCTTTGAAACTGAGATGAGGAGGAATTTTTTTCAGCCGGAAGATGGTGAATCCATGGAACTCATTGCTGCAGAGGGCTGTGGAGGACAAGTCATTGAGTGTCTTTAAGACAGAAATAGATAGGTTTCTGATTATTAAGGGGATCAAGGGTTACATAGAAAAACATTTCAACCATTTTGAATGACAAGGCCTTTCAATGGGCTGAATGGCCTAATTCTGTTCCTAATCTTATGGTTTTTATGGAGTCTAGTGACCCTTTGTCAGTGCCCTTTTTCATGGAGATATTAATGAAGGATTAATTAGGTGTGAATTGGCTGTATAAATATGGGGAGCTGTAATCAATTGGGGGATAAGTTTTATGAACTGTAGCTAACTGAAATAAAGCTCTTACTAAAAAGATGGACTTGAACTCTATTTAAAGAGTTCAAAATTTCCACTGCTCTCTGTGTAAGGAGATGTTTCCTGACATCACCCACGTGTGGCCCAGCTCAATTTTGTACCTTGTTCTGTGACCATCCCCAACCACACATCTACCCCCATCTCTTCACCCCCACCACCAGAAATAAGTGCCTTCTATTGATTATATCAACCTCTTTAATCATCTTAAATAGCTTGATCAGAATGCCTGTCAATCTCCTATACTCCACATTCATCCCTGCTCTCTGTAGTTTGTAACTGCAATCAAACTCTTTTAAATCATTTAAAAAAAAACAGAAATTGCTGGAAAAATTCAGCAGGTTTGGCAGCATCTGTGGAGAGAGAGCAGAGTTAATGTTTTGAGTCCAGTATGACACTTCCAAAGGAAGCCCTGAATTCTGTTTTAAGTAAAAGAGGATATGCTGATAGAGACATTGATATCGGTTATGATAGGGGTATTCATTTTATTTACCCATTGGCATTGAATAACCTTAATATTCTTGCCCAATTAAAAATATCAATCTCAGCTTTTAAATTTTATCAAGACACCCGTCCTGAAATTCCCAGTCTGGGTGGTGGGTTATTTCAAATGTGGGGTTCAGTGAGTTGTAATCTCACTCCTGGGTCAGTGCAAAGAGTTGAGCACTTAATCCAGGTTGACCACTCTGTGCAGTACAAGAGGTTGAAGGTCGAAGGTCAGATGTTAAGCCGAGGTCCCTGTGTCTTCTTTCAGGTGGAATGGAGAAGATCAGTAGTCACTGTTTGAAAGAAAAGCAAAGGGTTCTCCCCTGTGTCGTACCCAATATTTCTCCCACAGTCAACATCACAACAAAAAAACAAATGCTCTGCTCATTCTGACAGCCTGTCACATATCCTACATTGACTCCAGTTCCCACATGTGGCCTGGTATCTCTGGTGAGACACACTGTTTGGTCAGCACGGCACATGTTGTGGTCAAGGTCACTGGAACTATCTGAGATGTCTCGGATTAATTTACAGCCACCTATCCTTTTGATTGGTGTTAGTCTAAGTTGTGAATACTGTGTGAGGAAGGATGCCCACGCAAAGTCTTCAATTGAAGAAAATTTCAATCCTCATGAATGGAATTGGTTTATTATATAGTATTTAATAGAATTGGAATTAGTTTATTGTCAGAAGTACAGGAACACAGTGAAAAGTGTACAAAGTAGCCAATCACTGGTGCCATCTCAGGTACAAAAGCCCGAATTTAAAGAAACCATCTACATACAAAAACCGACATAACATTATATCTGATATAGAGGACAGTTCTCTTGTGAGACCATCAAGCTCAGTTTAAGAGTAAGAACACATTAGTTACATGGAATTGGCACTAAAAATGGTCTTGCAGTTTAGACTAACTGGTACACTCTCAACACAACGCAACACATTCTCCCCGTGTCTGTGTGGGTTTCCTCCGGGTGCTCCGGTTTCCTCCCACAGTCCAAAGATGTGCAGTCTAGGTGGATTGGCCATGCTAAATTGCCCACAGTGTTCAGGGATGTGTAGGTTAGGCGGGTTATGAGGGATGGGTCAGTGTGGACTAGTTGGGCCGAAGGGCCTGTTTCCACACTGTAGGGTTTCTATGAACTGGTACACTCTCAAGCTCCTCCCAAGACCAGTCCTTTGTCTCCTAATGGGTGGAGCTTATCATGTGATGACAGTTAATTCTTTCAGACTCTTACTGCCTTATGCAACAGAAACCATTCCTCTTTGGCCTGGGAAACAGTTTGGCTGCTCCAGAGATTGCAAGTGGTGCTATATAAATGGAAAACGTGCTTGAATTTTTTTTTTCCGAATGGTCTACAGTCAGGTCTTAATGATCTCATGTGAAGGTCATTTGTGCCTTTAAGTAAGGATTTGGGTGTGTGATCCTGATTTAAAGTTGTGATGAGTGACATTAGAGAGAAGCTCTGTGTAAACTATCCCCACACCCTCCCTCTCACCCCGGGCGCCTGGGGTCCATTGGCTATTGTAGAGTGGGAAGCTCATTACCTCCACTCATTGCAGTGATATTCTCTCATTGCTGACAACACCTCAGTTTGTATAGCTGCCTCCACAGGGTCAATGTCACAAACCCAGAGCCTTGTCACTGTGAAAATCTCAGCACAGCTAGTGGCCGCGGTTACAGCTCATCATTTGTGTTGTCTAAGACTGAAAAACAGGCTGTACAATCCTAAAGCCCCTTACATATGGAAATATCAGCACTTCAGTTTGTACAGATACATCCAAAACGAGCACATTCTTACAAGGTTGCTGGCTGGTTGAACAATACTGAATGAAAATCCTGAAGGGGTTTACTATCTACTATTCCGCTGAGGAGTGACAAGCCAGTGCCAGGCCAAAGACTGTGTGTGAAAATAATCGGCAAATGTATAAACGTCCTCAGTTAGTTGCCTAGCTACAGATACAAAGGGTTTATAGCAGGGCACACAGAGTTCAAAATACAAAGATTGTCTGCAAAATGTAGGGTGGGAAACTGGTAGGGAGCTAACGTGAAACGGCCTGTTGATTATTCAGTTTCTAATCAAGGCTGACACTCGGAGAGCAAAGACAATGCTCCAAACTCGAGTCTTTTAGATTCAAAGTTAAGCCCAGGTCCTGCTGGGGTCAATGTTAAAGGTCCCTTTTGTGTAGCTGGAAGACCATAGGGGAGGCATTTCCTGGTGATTGTCGGTACTTGAATGTACCCTGGCCGTACCAATCCCAAACCCCTGCAATGCTGGGGTTCCTGTTGTTATAAATGTCCTAGAAAGCCGAGGCCAGAGGCCAAGGCTGACCTCCCGCTGATTGCTAGCCCAGGCTGAGGGCCATCATGATCTGAGCTTCAATATCCACATTCCAGCAATTCCATCTCCACACTATAGCCTCCTTCACCTCCAGATCCACGAATTCCAGCTCCTTCTGATTCCACTCTGGATTCACTGACTCTGCAATTCTTCATTGTTTGGCACCAACATTAACTACCACTTCCCTGCTACCTCCATCCCTTCCTCCTGTCCCTTCACTCCCTCTCCTCACCTCTGCCACTCTCCCTCTCTCTCCAGCTCCCTTTTCCTCCTGGTCTTTCTGTCTTGGTTTCCTTCTGCACCTCCCTCCCACTCTCGTTACCCCACCTCTCCTCCTCTCTCACCTTCATTCAGCTGTGTCCCTCTCTCCCTATTCCCTTTCCTTTCTCAACCTCTACCTCCAGTGGGTAGCATGCTGAGCTGTGAGGTGGGGAGGAAGGTGAGTTTGAGTCCCCGTACTCCAGGGATTGAGCACTAAAGCTCTTGGCAGTGCAGTACCGAGAGATAGCTACATTTGCCTGCCGTCTGGTTATAACCATAAGAAGTAGGAGCAGGAGGAGGCCATTCAGCCCATTGAGCCTGCTGCACCATTCAATAAGAACATGGCTGATCTGGTTATAGCCGTAACTACACTTTTCTGTGCCCCACCCCAACACACACACACACACATACACACACACACACACACACACACACACAAAATGGCCTTTGACTGCCTAGGTGATCAATACTCTATCTAACTCAGCCATGAATATGTTGAACAACACAGCCTTAACTGCTCTTTGACTTCAGATTTGATGTCTCTGTTGAGTTAAAAATGGAAGGAACTGCAGATGCTGTTCTCTGAGGAAGGGTCTTTGGACCTGAAAAGTTAACTTCGATTTATCTCGACAGATGCTGTCAGACCTGCTAAGCGTATCCAGCAGTTTGTGTTTTGGTCTCTGTTGTTGGTTTCCAGAACATGTTCAAGCTGTAGATGCTGATTGCTTGGTTTTTGTGAAAGATGCGTGATGTTCTATACTCCAACACCACTGCACATCATTAGC